GACCATGAGAAACAAGATTCTCTGGTCTGATGAAACCAAGATTGAACTCTTTGGCCTGAATGCCAAGCGTCACTTCTGGAGGAAACCTGGCACCATCCCTACGGTGAAGCATGGTGGAGGCAGCATCATGCTGTGGGGATGTTTTTCAGCGGCAGGGACTGGGAGACTAGTCAGGATCAAGGGAAAGATGAACGGAGCAAAGTACAGAGAGATCCTGATGAAAACCTGCTCCAGAGCGGTTCACCTTCCAACAGGACAACGATCCTAAGCACACAGACAAGACAACGTAGGAGTGGCTTCGGGACAAGTCTCTGAATGTGCTTGAATGGCCCAACCAGATTCCGGACTTGAACCTGATCGAACATCTCTGGAGAGACCTGAAAATAGCTGTGCAGCAACTCTCCCCATCCAACCTGACAGAGCTTGAGAGGATCTGCAGAGAAAAATGGGAGAAACTCCCCAAATACAGGTGTGCCAAGCTTGTCGCGTCATACCCAAGAAGACTTAAGGCTGTATTCGCTGCCAAAGGTGCTTCAACTAAGTACTGAATAAAGGGTCTGAATACTTATGCAAATGTAATATTTCAGTTTTTTTATTTGTAATACATTTGCACACATTTCTAATAACCTGTTTTTGCTTTGTCATTATGGGCCATTATGTGTAGATTGATGAGATTTTTGTTTTTAAATTCATTTTAGAATAAGGCTGTAACGTAACACAATGTGGAAAAAGTCAAGGGGTCTGCATACTTTCCGAATCCACTGTATACCTGTGTTTTATTTATCCATGGCAATGTTATTAATATTTACCTCATCTCAAGTCATTGATATATCTATACTTATGCTATTATAGTACAGGATACATAGTAAACACATACAGAAGGGAACCAGGGTAGATCGTGGTCAATGAGAAATGGCTGTACATACAACACACATGACCCAACAACAATATGGAATATAGCGGACTGTCAAAAGCAGTTCTGGTCTCAGTGCATTACTTCAGACCAGGCCTGCGGCCCAAATGGTACCCTAGATAGTGAACGAGAAGTAGTTCACTACAGGGAATGGGGTGCCATTTGAGAGATAACCCAAGTCTACAGAGCATTGTAATGGTACGCTTGGACACAGTTGTATTTAACATCAATTACCACACATACTGTTACGTGCCCCTTATGTACACAACATGGCACAACGGTCTGGTCTGACTCACGATTTCACCAAAAAAAACCCACACCTATTGACTTACTACACACAGAAACGTTGTTTTGTTCTGTTGCACGTACTACAATACACAGTAACGAAACCAAGGCGTCTGTCGACCTAACAGAGCGTGTTACTACAGATGGACACGGTGAAGGATTGTAGCCTGGTTAAACCAGACTGAATGTTGGCGCTCACCGCTGTTTCACTAACACCGGTGAAATGTAATGACGTCAGTTCAGATGCCAGGCTAAAGGGATCGTAGTCTACTGGAGTGGATATACTATGTGATTTTTCTGGTGCAATATTAATTCATTACAACACACAATCTATCTCATCTGGATGGAGCCTATATATGCATTTACAAACATTCACTGATGTTCATAATTTTATGGTTACAAGTTGATCTGTAAATTCATGTTTGCATTGCTCCAGTGCATGTGAAAGTGAGTACAGCGAGCACTGAGTTGAAATTCCAGATTAAGAGAATAGTTATCTGTGCCCCCCCCAAAAAAAAAAATATTATTCAATGATGACGTGAATAAAACACATTAGAAGCCTTTAGAAACCTATAATAGCAAGAACCAGAGAGACAAAAAGAACAGAGATGCATTCACACACTTCCTCACAAAAATATACAGGAAAATGCAGGTCTGTACAAACAAACAAAAAAAACGGTTTGAGAAAAATTGAAAAGAAAATCATATTGAATATCATCCATCACACAATCAGACAAAGACAATTCACAGGTTTTTGAAATAACTGCTATTCATGTACACATCTTCACATTGGTTTCAAGTCTAATACTGTATACACATTTCTGTAATATCCATCTTTTAATTAAATAATTCTTCATTTTAAGAGTTATCTTGAGACTCGAGACAATAAAGACTTGACAGTTATTTTCTTCCAGTTTCAGTTCATAAAATGAGATATTTGTATTAACAATATTATATTTTTTCCATATATACCATTTCACATCTACACTCATGGGTTCTGACTAGAGGGAGTACAGCTACAACCGGAAGTTACTTTTTCGTAGCAGGTTAGGTTCATGTACGCAGCTGGTTAGGAGAACTAAAGTAGCAGGTTAGGAGACTTAGGTTAAGGTTAGGAAAAGGGTTATTAGGGTTAGCTAAAATGCTCTCCTAACCTGCTACGAAAAGTCACTTCCGGTCGTAGCTGTACTCCCTCTAGTCATAACCACACTCATGTACTAACGTTGACAACCACATTTTGTTTTCACTCGTAAAGGTAAAAATCCACCATTACCCAGAAAAAAAAAAAAAAGATTGTCATGACGTCACTGATGACACCATTACAACCAGCTTGTAGTCATTTTTTGCATTCGCGTCACAGGGTTCACCTTAGGATTAGTGAGAGGATTGACCCATGGGAATAAACGTTCATAACATCTAACATTTGTCCATCTACAAACAGCAAATACTCTATCTTCAATGGGGAATGAAGATTACATTTAGTCCCTTCTGCCCCTTACAGACAGAACCCTCATCCACTTCCAGACAGAACCATCTGCCCCTTACAGACAGAACCCTCATCCACTTCCAGACAGAACCATCTGCCCCTTACAGACAGAACCATCTGCCCCTTACAGACAGAACCATCTGCCCCTTACAGACAGAACCATCTGCCCCTTACAGACAGAACCATCTGCCCCTTACAGACAGAACCATCATCCCTTTACAGACAGAACCATCTGCCCCTTACAGACAGAACCATCTGCCCCTTACAGACAGAACCATCTGCCCCTTACAGACAGAGGTATTTTGGTTCACCTAGTCTAAATTCTTAACTGGGTTACAGCAGTCATACTTATTTGGAATGTTCCATCCTATGCAAAACTGAACAGTGTACGTGTGCGTTTAAATTAGTGGTTATTATTAAAAAATCTATTCTTTGTTTCACTGATAGTCAATAGCATAATGACTGTTCAAAAAAACACACTCCCCATAACCTGAAATGTAAAATGGTGGAACTAGCAGACACTCCTAACATGGCTTCATTATGACTGGGGATGAAGAAGCCAACAATCTGGTATTTCTACTCTAGGCAATGCTAGCCAAAGACTGACATGTAGCTATTAGCTATCTAGCAACTAGGTAAGATCTAAAAACATAGGAATAGAATAGAAGTCATTCTATTCCTATGTATAAAACAAGGTAGACAGATATCACACCTTTCCTGAGAATCTAAGTAATAAAAAATAAAATTCAACATGGACAAAATTGTGATAATTCTTTTTAAATACGATTCAACAAAATTTTCCTGCATTTTGTCATGTCCACGTGGCCAAACTGTATCCTTCATAATAATACAGCACTGCAAAACAAGTAGAAACTGTTTCTCAAAAACATGACAAAACATCATAATCCTAATCGTTTCTGCTAAGCTCCTTCCATAAAATAAACATCCTTCCAAAAACAATGCGAGATCACTCACTAAAACCATAATATCTTCTGAAACATTGCATTGGCTCTAGTAAGACTGTTGTATTCTTCTATTCAAAGCTAAATCAGCATTACGGGGCAGTGCAAGGGTTGAAGTGTGTCTGGCACACGGAAGCAGAGAAATCCATCTTGTGTGAAAAAATGTGTAACGTCTTGATACTGCACTACGTTTAATAATAACAACTATGTGCATGGTTGAAGTGTTGGTCCATGTTAGGGGACAGATGTGGGAGGGAACCTTTGAAGCAAAATCAAAACATTACATCATCATATTCTGAATGGAACCCTAATTGTGAATTTTGTTCTCATTTGATGATCATCCCTTTTCATCTGTCCGTCCAGTCTATCCCTCACCTAGCCTGGGTGACTCCCTCACCTAGCCTGGGTGGCTCCCTCACCTAGCCTGGGTGGCTCCCTCACCTAGCCTGGGTGACTCCCTCACCTAGCCTGGGTGGCTCCCTCACCTAGCCTGGGTGGCTCCCTCACCTAGCCTGGGTGGCTCCCTCACCTAGCCTGGGTGGCTCCCTCACCTAGCCTGGGTGGCTCCCTCACCTAGCCTGGGTGACTCCCTCACCTAGCCTGGGTGGCTCCCTCACCTAGCCTGGGTGGCTCCCTCACCTAGCCTGGGTGACTCCCTCACCTAGCCTGGGTGACTCCCTCACCTAGCCTGGGTGGCTCCGTCACCTAGCCTGGGTGGCTCCCTCACCTAGCCTGGGTGGACTCCCTCACCTAGCCTGGGTGGCTCCCTCACCTAGCCTGGGTGGCTCCCTCACCTAGCCTGGGTGACTCCCTCACCTAGCCTGGGTGACTCCCTCACCTAGCCTGGGTGGCTCCGTCACCTAGCCTGGGTGACTCCCTCACCTAGCCTGGGTGACTCCCTCACCTAGCCTGGGTGGCTCCCTCACCTAGCCTGGGTGGCTCCCTCACCTAGCCTGGGTGTCTCCCTAACCCTAGCCTGGGTGTCTCCCTAACCCTAGCCTGGGTGGCTCTGCTCCTGATCTCATGCCAACTGACAATTCCATATGGAGCAAAAACAGACTGGAACCCTGTCTATATCCCCCCCCCCCCTCACACTCCCCCATCTCCCACCCTGTCTATACCCCCCCCCCCCTCACACTCCCCCCTCTCCCACCCTCTCCTCCACCCTGTCTATATCCCCCCCCCCCCCCCCCCTCACACTCCCCCATCTCCCACCCTCTCTATACCCCCCCCCCCCCTCACACTCCCCCATCTCCCACCCTCTCTATACCCCCCCCCCCTCACACTCCCCCATCCTCCACCCTGTCTATATCCCCCCCCCCTCTCCCACCCTCTCCTCCACCCTGCCCTACATGCCCGGGTCGTCGTAGTTGTAGGTGGGTGCCTGTGAGTACTGGGGCTGTTGTTGCTGCTGCTGCATGGCTCCCTGCGCCACCCCTACAGCGGCCTGCTGCGCTGCCTGCTGGACGTGAGGGTTCTTCCAGGCCCCGGTGGTCCACTCCTCCTGGGCTTTACTCATACTGCCCCCAGTGCCACGGTACATGTTGTGCACCTGGAGAGAGTCAGGGAGACGGTGTTAGAGTGAGTTATATTACTGTAGTTAGTGTGTGAGAGAGACATGCAGAATACTGTCCCGGTGCCACGGTACATGTTGTCAGGGAGAGATGGCGTGTGAGTTATATTACTGCAAGTCATACAGAGGTCTTGAGAATTAATACTGTCTTTGCTCTCCTAAAAATGATTGCCAACCCTGTTTTCAATACTCCAGAACCCTCCCCTTGCTAGGATAACGACACAGCCTTTTTCTAAAATGTTTTATGAGATTGGAGAACACATTGGTAGGGATCTTAGACCGTTCCGCCATACAGAATCCTTCCAGATCCTTAATACCCTTCGTCTGCTCATATGGACTGCCCTCTTCAATTCAAACCACAGGTTTTCAATGGGGTTCGATCAAGGCTGGAGACTGAGATGGCCATTGCAAAATGTTGAATTTGTGGTCAATTAACCATTTCTTTGTTTATTTTCTTCCCCACCACTGGTGTGCATGGCCAAAGACCTCTATTGTCATATACTTTTACCATATAATGACCATATAATGCCAAGACTTTTGGACCAGACTGTATATAATACTGCCCCAGTGCCACGGTACATGTTGTGGACCTGGAGTGAGTCAGGGAGAGATTGAGATGGTGTTAGAGATTCATATTACTGCTAAAAAGCCAGACCAGGCCAAAACAATGATTTTTTCAACGTGCCCATCGACTCTGGTGTGGACCTGCACGAGTCAGAGATATATATATTTTAAACTGGGACATTAATTAACATTTCAGTGTTCAAACATAAATGAAGGGTAAATGTGCCTGAGTTCGCAAAAGGGATTATTTTTAACCGCCAGTCCCTGAGATATTGTGAGTTATATTACAGCCAAGTCAAACTAAGGTCGCAAGAAATAAATACTGTCTTTGCTCTAAATAAGATCTGATTTCCTGTTACTATAGCAACCCATCAGGCAGGTCATAGACTTGCAGATTTTTTTTCTTGAGCGCATGGTCGGGGGGCCAGAACATAATTACAAATAATTAGTAGACTGCAAATTGACCACAAGAAGCCCAAAACAGATATAATATTTGACTAAAACATAAATCATTACTTACATGTGTATACAAATCACATACAGTATATATCTCTATTATGATTTGCTGGTGTTTTTACAGTCTTTTATGTTCAACAACAAAAATATATATTTTTTTAGTTTTTTGGCTCAGAAAACTTGAGGAGCCAATAAAATCACCTGGGCCAAATAAGGCCCCGTAGGCCGCCAGTTGGGGAACCCTGACATACAGTAACATGAACCACACATTTCACATAGACTGTAGTCAGAGTGAGAAAAGTGCTAGGGTAGTGATGAAGTGTAAAGTGCTAGGGTAGTGCTGAAGTGTAAAGTGCTAGGGTAGTGCTGAAGTGTAAAGTGCTAGGGTAGTGCTGAAGTGTAAAGTGCTAGGGTAGTGCTGAAGTGTAAAGTGCTAGGGTAGTGCTGAAGTGTAAAGTGCTAGGGTAGTGCTGAAGTGTAAAGTGCTAGGGTAGTGCTGAAGTGTAAAGTGCTAGGGTAGTGCTGAAGTGTAAAGTGCTAGGGTAGTGCTGAAGTGTAAAGTGCTAGGGTAGTGCTGAAGTGTAAAGTGCTAGGGTAGTGCTGAAGTGTAAAGTGCTAGGGTAGTGCTGAAGTGTAAAGTGCTAGGGTAGTGCTGAAGTGTAAAGTGCTAGGGTAGTGCTGAAGTGTAAAGTGCTAGGGTAGTGCTGAAGTGTAAAGTGCTAGGGTAGTGCTGAAGTGTAAAGTGCTAGGGTAGTGCTGAAGTGTAAAGTGCTAGGGTAGTGCTGAAGTGTAAAGTGCTAGGGTAGTGCTGAAGTGTAAAGTGCTAGGGTAGTGCTGAAGTGTAAAGTGCTAGGGTAGTGCTGAAGTGTAAAGTGCTAGGGTAGTGCTGAAGTGTAAAGTGCTAGGGTAGTGCTGAAGTGTAAAGTGCTAGGGTAGTGCTGAAGTGTAAAGTGCTAGGGTAGTGCTGAAGTGTAAAGTGCTAGGGTAGTGCTGAAGTGTAAAGTGCTAGGGTAGTGCTGAGTGTAAAGTGCTAGGGTAGTGCTGAAGTGTAAGTGCTAGGGTAGTGCTGAAGTGTAATGTGCTAGGGTAGTACTGAAGTGTAAAGTGCTAGGGTAGTGCTGAAGTGTAAAGTGCTAGGGTAGTGCTGAAGTGTAAAGTGCTAGGGTAGTGCTGAAGTGTAAAGTGCTAGGGTAGTGCTGAAGTGTAAAGTGCTAGGGTAGTGCTGAAGTGTAAAGTGCTAGGGTAGTGCTGAAGTGTAAAGTGCTAGGGTAGTACTGAAGTGTAAAGTGCTAGGGTAGTACTGAAGTGTAAAGTGCTAGGGTAGTGCTGAAGTGTAAAGTGCTAGGGTAGTGCTGAAGTGTAAAGTGCTAGGGTAGTGCTGAAGTGTAAAGTGCTAGGGTAGTGCTGAAGTGTAAAGTGCTAGGGTAGTGCTGAAGTGTAAAGTGCTAGGGTAGTGCTGAAGTGTAAAGTGCTAGGGTAGTGCTGAAGTGTAAAGTGCTAGGGTAGTGCTGAAGTGTAAAGTGCTAGGGTAGTGCTGAAGTGTAAAGTGCTAGGGTAGTGCTGAAGTGTAAAGTGCTAGGGTAGTGCTGAAGTGTAAAGTGCTAGGGTAGTGCTGAAGTGTAAAGTGCTAGGGTAGTGCTGAAGTGTAAAGTGCTAGGGTAGTGCTGAAGTGTAAAGTGCTAGGGTAGTGCTGACGTGTAAAGTGCTAGGGTAGTGCTGAAGTGTAAAGTGTATATAGTACCTTAGTGAGCCCGGTGAAGGAGAGGACAGCCATGGCAGTGAACATGATGGTGGGGATCAGCATGACTACAGCAGAGCCTATATTGGTGCTAAAGAAGGTGATGGTCGCCAGCCAGCCGCTGGAGGAAGGAAGAGGAACAAGAAAAAAACCACAACAAGTGGAGGACTGTTCTAAGGCAGGGTTCCCTAACACTATAAACAGTAGGCCAATGGCCGACAATCAGGTCAATCAATCAAGCGACCAATCAAATAGTATAGCCCTTTTTACATCAACTGTTGTCACAAAGTGGTTAACAGTAACCCGGCCTAGACCCCATTAAAGAGCACCGACATTGGCAAGGAAAAGCTCCCTAGAAGGAAGAAGCCTAAAGAGGAACCAGACTCAGAGAGGAGAGAGGCCCATCATTTTACAGCCATTAGGCACGACTCTCGCCAACAACTTAAAACGTTTTTAGTAGGCTATTTCAAGTTTAAAAACATGACGTTTTGGCCGTCGGTGGCCTTCATCAGACTGAAACAGGCTCCATCCTTACCAGACCCCCCAGCCTGGGATCCCTATACACTGGATAATGCTGATCACCACCTGGGCCATGAACACGAAGAAGAACGCCATGAAGTTGAACGAGCTGTCAGTCCTACAGGGGGGAAGAGAAGTAAATCTAGTCAGAAATCCAGGATCTAACCTACTGTAGAAATGGTTTATTGTAACTTGACTGACGTCCTCTCTGCCTCATGATAACGTAACACATGGTGTCAGAAGTGGAATCCATCATCTTCTCATTAAAACATGTACCGTGTGTTAACTTGACTCACGTCTCTCTGCCTCATCCATAACAGTATAACGTAACGTGGGGTGCGTGCGATGAGTAAGACAGAACGGCGTTCAATGTTTATTTCAATGGAATCGGTACTGTTACTGAACGACCAAACTTTGGCAAACGTTGAACCGAACTGAACGCACCCCAGGTGTCAGAAGAAGGGTGTACTTACTTGAAGGCCTTGTAGATGGGTCTGAACCAGCACACGTAGGAGCAGGGGGTGAACAGGATGAGCCACAGAATGGCCATGCCAAAGTTAGTGGCTCCGCCCCCGCCACACATCCACGCCAGGCAACCAATCAGATTGACCGCCAAGGTGGCACTGTTAACTGTAACGATCACAGGTGGAAAAAAGGTAAAATAACTATATTAAAATGGTCGACCTTGCATTATTTGAACTACTGCAGCATTGGTCATGTTCATTAGGGCATGCAATGGAAATGGAAAGCGAAGATGAGGGTGTCTTATTGGATACGTCCAGGTAGTCCCTCCCTGTTTCAGTTTTCTTTGGTTTGTTGTCTAATAAACAGGACCATTGTGTTACTGTTTTCCATTCCATGTTTGTACAATTACATTGTCTAGGACGTGAACCTAATGTAATCATTCTACAACAACACGGTCTGTTATTGGATGATTCATCTAGCCAAGTAAAGTTTAATTGGTTGCTTCAGATTTGTATAGGAGTCTGCAGAGACAGTAAAGGTAGCTTTATGTATGGGAGTCTGCAGAGACAGTAAAGGTAGCTTTATGTATGGGAGTCTGCAGAGACAGTAACGGTAGCTTTATGTATGGGAGTCTGCAGAGACAGTAAAGGTAGCTTTATGTATGGGAGTCTGCAGACAGTAACGGTAGCTTTATGTATAGGAGTCTGTAGAGACAGTAAAGGTAGCTTTATGTATGGAGTCTGCAGAGACAGTAAAGGTAGCTTTATGTATGGGAGTTTGCAGAGACAGTAACGGTAGCTTTATGTATAGGAGTCTGCAGAGACAGTAACGGTAGCTTTATGTATAGGAGTCTGCAGAGACAGTAAAGGTAGCTTTATGTATGGGAGTCTGCAGAGACAGTAACGGTAGCTTTATGTATAGGAGTTTGCAGAGACAGTAATGGTAGCTTTATGTATGGGAGGTTGCAGAGACAGTAACGGTAGCTTTATGTATAGGAGTTTGCAGAGACAGTAACGGTAGCTTTATGTATAGGAGTCTGCAGAGACAGTAAAGGTAGCTTTATGTATGGGAGACTGTAGAGACAGTAACGGTAGCTTTATGTATGGGAGTCTGCAGAGACAGTAAAGGTAGCTTTATGTATGGGAGTCTGTAGAGACAGTAACGGTAGCTTTATGTATGGGAGTCTGCAGAGACAGTAAAGGTAGCTTTATGTATGGGAGTCTGCAGAGACAGTAACGGTAGCTTTATGTATGGGAGTCTGCAGAGACAGTAAAGGTAGCTTTATGTATGGGAGTCTGCAGAGACAGTAACGGTAGCTTTATGTATAGGAGTTTGCAGAGACAGTAAAGGTAGCTTTATGTATGGGAGTCTGCAGAGACAGTAACGGTAGCTTTATGTATAGGAGTCTGTAGAGACAGTAAAGGTAGCTTTATGTATGGGAGTTTGCAGAGACAGTAACGGTAGCTTTATGTATAGGAGTCTGCAGAGACAGTAACGGTAGCTTTATGTATAGGAGTCTGCAGAGACAGTAAAGGTAGCTTTATGTATGGGAGTCTGCAGAGACAGTAACGGTAGCTTTATGTATAGGAGTTTGCAGAGACAGTAATGGTAGCTTTATGTATGGGAGGTTGCAGAGACAGTAACGGTAGCTTTATGTATAGGAGTTTGCAGAGACAGTAACGGTAGCTTTATGTATAGGAGTCTGCAGAGACAGTAACGGTAGCTTTATGTATGGGAGACTGTAGAGACAGTAACGGTAGCTTTATGTATGGGAGTCTGCAGAGACAGTAAAGGTAGCTTTATGTATGGGAGTCTGTAGAGACAGTAACGGTAGCTTTATGTATGGGAGTCTGCAGAGACAGTAAAGGTAGCTTTATGTATGGGAGTCTGTAGAGACAGTAACGGTAGCTTTATGTATGGGAGTCTGCAGGGACAGTAACGGTAGCTTTATGTATGGGAGTCTGCAGAGACAGTAAAGGTAGCTTTATGTATGGGAGTCTGCAGAGACAGTAACGGTAGCTTTATGTATGGGAGTCTGCAGAGACAGTAAAGGTAGCTTTATGTATGGGAGTCTGCAGAGACAGTAACGGTAGCTTTATGTATGGGAGTCTGTAGAGATAGTAAAGGTAGCTTTATGTATAGGAGTCTGCAGGGACAGTAAAGGTAGCTTTATGGTTTAGAATCTGAGATATAAAGGAAAGATCTCTATGACCAAGTTATGGTCTGTGTCTTAAAGAACAGTAGTGCACTATAAAGAATATTGGCTATAATTTGGGACATCCTAAAACTAAAGCAATCAGTCATCTATTCAACACACAATACAATGACTACTAGGCTAAGAGGCACAAACTAATGATTACCTATTTCTAACATATATTTCACAGGACTTACTTTTATATTCCCCAGCCTGAGTGAAATGAAAATTAGAATGAAAGGTATACAATCATCCATATATAAAGTTTACCATTGATCTATTAGCTTCATTTTCAGTTCTTGTTGTCAGGCCAATGATATAAAGATGGGATGCTTTAAACTAGCGGAAGTTATTTGTGATGGAAAAAAATTATTGGATGGATGCCTAAATGTCGCAAACCAGCTATACCAGCCTTCCTGCTATTCCAGTGATTGTTTCCCATATTATTTTGGGGTAAAAACACACACAGGTGACGTTAAAAAGAAAGGCCAAACAGTAGCAGATGACACTTAACAGTTTACCGGTATGTCGTCACTTAAGCGATCTACACATTAAATACAGTATGTAAAGGGATTTGTTAGAGTGAACCAGTGCTGCACGGTACGGAGCACCAGCACCTCTAATATTCTACTGACACCTCTTTTAGAATATTAATACTCTAATACATGATGAGTACTGGTATTTAAATATAAAGAGTACCTTATGAACAATTCATACTGGTTTCCCAGGCCCAAATTCAGCCAAGTTCAGGACCTAAAAGCATTCTCAATGGAAAATGGTCTATAAGAACTAGGCTTGCTATATATCTATATCTGGGAAACCAGCCCCAGATGCCTCAGTCTCTAATCACAGGGTGTCTTCCAGATGTCACCCTATTCCCTACATAGTGCACTACTTAGTTTGGACCAGAACCCTATGTGCCCTGGTCAAAAGTAGTGCACTATATAGGGAATAGGGTGCCGTTCGAGATCGGCCACACTCACAGATCCATAGGTAGTACAGCTTCTTGCACATGGAGCGATGTACATCCGGGATCTCGTTGAAGTCCTGATAGAAACACGGCCTCAGAGGGATGAAGCGAGGCAGGGGAGGGAAATTGTTTTCTGTGGGAATAAAAAAAAAAAGGACAAAAGCTATAATATAATAATAATATTCCATTTAGCAGACGCTTTTATCCAAAGCGACTTACAGTCATGCGTGCATACATTTTTACGTATGGGGTGGTCCCGGGGATCGAACCCACTACCCTGGCGTTACAAGCGCCGTGCTCTACCAATTGAGCTACAGAGGACCATCACGTTGATGTTCAGCAATTACTGGTAACTCCCTTAATAGTCAGATTCTTGAATGGAGACAATATATTCGGGTTGAAGTACAAATCGTTGAACCTGATCAAGACAACATTTGCACTTGATTGATAAAAGCATACTGTTGAGCAATGTGCACTCATACTACAATGATACGATAACGTGCTTATTAACAACTACTAATAACTATATATTTCAAAAAAGAGTGTCATAATTCAAGATTCAATACACACAGAAGTCACACTAACAAAACATCTCCACTATGATGATATCCTTGTATGAATGAGAGAATTAAATTCAATTATAGCTTACCTGCCATTACAATTGGATATGTTCCTCCAGTTGGAAATAAATATGATCCAAACCCAATTGCCTTGGAAATTAAACTGAAAAGAATATGAAGCAAGGAAATGTAAATACATTTTATAATATCATATGTGTTTGGCTATCTATCATAAAAGCTATACAAATTGGCTATACAACGTTGTTGCCTAAGTAATATGAAATGCCGATATGACTATGAAAACATTGAGAGGCCAATGCATGAATGCATGGGGAGGTACCTGTGAAATGATGCCAAAACCATCTGTCCCCAGTGTCCCTCCCAGTGTGCTTTGCGCTCATAAATAGCTAGCCCACCTGCCCCACCGCTACAATATGGGATAACATGTTTATCGAAACTGTGATGAGTTTTCTAGTCATTTTGATGTATAATTTAAGTGTTTTGACCGAATGAAAAACAAGTGAGATTCTCATTCATATGAGTTTAGCCAAACTAAGCTAGCTAACTTTGTATGTAAATTAATGAGAACAAGATGGTGTCTCAGATTATTTTGTATTTCTGTTATAAACGTTTGTACATATGAACAACACTAATGATATTTTAGAAGTTTACTTTTTATGAAATGTGTATCTAACGGTTGCTTGCTAACTGCTAACGTTAGCTAGCTCATTGCTAGGCTTTTAGCTTATGTTGTAGTTGGCTAGATGTTCATGGGTTTGTGTTACATTTAATACACTGGCCTCTTCTATAATTTGATTGTACTGTTGTTGTCCATACAATGCATGGGTGTATATTCAGTGGTTTTGCACAGCACCATCTTTAGTGATAAATTAGCGAGGTAACTAGCTAGCTAACTAACCCGGTTCAAACCCTGATGCATCATACATACACACCTAGCAAGACATACATTTTTGGAAAAGGCAATTAGCTAGTAGATTATTCTAGAGGATTGTTGAATTGAGTTGTAACATTTACACAAATGTAACACTTTTGCATTGTCTCTTGACACACATTTACTTCACAGCACAATGTGTATGTGTGGTGTCAAAGAGCATGAACACGTCACCAGATGTTACATTTTTACAAAATGTTCTCTATTCATTCAAACACTGAAAACGAGTGGTACTCTCAATGGCTTAATGCTCTTTTCACATACGATAACAAGGCTCTGCACCTGTGACCCGGCCACCAAAACAACCTAAAATGTACCTTGTACCACCTATTACCAGACGGTGAGGCGGGCGTATCTCTCAGGTTTACTGAGAACATACGGGACACAATCTTGGAGATCCACGCAAAGAAGGGTCGCCAGAGGAGAAAGTGGGTAAGCCTTTTTGTAGTTCCATTAATCACCCATTGCTGTAGTTTGTTGGATCACTAATTGCCTCTGTATCATTTACGTAATTTAGCAGACGCTCTTATCCAGAGCGACATACAGAACTGCATTGACTGTTTTACTGAAAATAACAGTAATTATGAGCTTGGTACACGTTTTGGCAAAACTTGTTTCCATCTCTAGTCCACATGCCTGTAGCTCTGTGCACTGACAGTATCACATGGAAAACTTGTAGTATATCTCGTTTGATTATAATGACCTTTGGGATACATGCCCCCCTACTTCCGGAGTGAGGTGCTCATTGAACTTTGTCAAGAACTACAGAGCCCCTTGGAGAGGGACCAGAGCTACTTGGAGAGGGACCAGGGCTACTTGGAGAGGGACCAGAGCTACTTGGAGAGGGACCAGGGCTACTTGGAGAGGGACCAGAGCTACTTGGCGAGCCACACCACACGGATCATGTCTGGGGAGCTTTCAACAAGGCAACCTATATCCCACTGACCCCTCAAACCTCAACACTATAGCCACCCTCAAATGGAGGCTCGCCCTGGACGACTCCTGTCAGTACTGTGTTAATTTTTTTTAAAATTAAACACTTTTGTTGATCTTTGAATGTTGAATAGGCTCGTTCATATTCCTCTATATGAGGTATACCCCCATTTAACCCATGTATGCAGGTAAGCACCTCATTCGAAATTCAAAGATTCATTAAAGTGTTTTCAAAAGAATCGAGCAGAGTACTGGCAGGAGTCATCCAGCTTGGTCCAGGGCTAGTCTCCATGGGGGTTACTTTAGTTTCAGGCCCTGCTCAACCTATGCAGATGCTATTACCCACTTGCTCCTGTTCTACTGAAACTAATTGTCATCCTTCAAGAAGTGTATTTGTGTGTGTTATTCCAAGGAACTAAGAGTTGTTTTAGTACAGCGATGACGTGAGGTGCTTGAAAAAACCTTGATAAGTGGTGCTTGCATTTTATTTGTGAAAAAGGTTTAGGAACCCTAATGTGTGATAATAATAACAATTATTACAAGTAATTTATTCAATCCTAATTCACTGTAATTCATTCATTCTTTTAATAATTAATTATGTTTTTAATATACCAGTGACAGCCACTTTAGGCAAGCTACCGATGACTAGCATTAGCATTCAGTGGGGGCGAATAAGAATGCGCAACCTTCAGCAAGTGCACAGCCATTTACTGACATTTATGGGAGAGAAGTGGGCCGGACAGAGATGTATTGCAACTGATGTCAAAGGCCTGCACTGGAATTTCAAGACGTGTCCTGGTGAGTGGGTGGATGTGTGTGGCCATTTCTGGAGATTTACTGAACCGTTTCCGGACATACTGTATAGCGTTATCAGATATTTATGGGAAGTGTGCAGGGCCAAACAATGTTGGACATGTGGCCGCAAATTTGCAAAAACAGTTAGTTTTCGGACTTGTGCACTGGAGTGTTCAACCCGTAAATGTGCCTTTTCATGCAGTGACATGTTACTTCCATGATGCATAAGACACAGTGTGGCCTACAAGCCTCATAAATAAGCCCCGTACTTTATGGAGAGATACATTGTAGCCTACATAAGATAATTTAAAACATATTTTTAATAAAGCTTGACAGTGTGATGAAGGATATTTCTGATATTTGCAGCTATCACAATCATATTTTGACGACTGAAATAATAAAATGTCATCATAGCCCATTCAAAATGTGTCATGTTCAACACACAGAGGTTGAGTCTGTATGGATGAAGGGCATTTTCCCAGCATATATTTTTGCACCAAATAATACCACCAAACTGATAATAAATGATGTTGTGAGACCACGAATCTATGCAATATGATATGTTTTTCTTCCAATTCAGATTTGTTATTCATTTTAAAGGATGGGCAGGATGCAGAATGCCGCCGTTTGTAGGCTTACAATTGCATCGCGATGAGCACCACTGTCAATGGAGAAAGCACCGCCTTTCAGAGTAGAGCCTAGCCTACGACATAAGGTCTTTTTCAGCTGGACTCAATAAACAAGTCAAACGATTGTGCCTTTCATGCCGCATTTACACTCTATTTATGCACAGATCATTCTGTAATTTGCTCAATCGTGTCATTGAAACATAATGAATGGAATGGAAATAACACGGTATGGATTCGATAGAAAGGTTCTACCTCTTACCTTTTTTTTTTTTTTTGTCCCCAAACCAGGAATCCTGTTACTATGCGACGTCTGTCAATCGCATTATATGACGATGTTCTTCATGAAACACAACACGAGAGACCGAAATTCTATGTTCGATTAAAATCAGAAATGTCTTCTCACCCCACCGACAGCTTGGGAGTAGAACCAATGATGAGTAGAACACAATCACGTGACGTCACGTTTCTCCGCTCTCTCTTTTTACGCACGTACCGGTTGTACTAGGAATGGTTTGAGGAAACGGATTTGTTGCTGGCCAGAACCGACCAACCGCTTACTAGCAGCATAGAGTTTCTATCTAAACCACACCGTAGATGCAGGAACGCCCCGAATTGCTATTGATTTTTTCCACACTAGCTACTTAACTACATTTAAAACCAGATACTTTTAGACTCTCACTCCAGTAATATTTTACTGGGAACTTTCACTTTTATTTGAGTCATTATCGACCATCCCATTGGTTTCAGTTTTGTAGGATAAAAAAACATTGAATAGAGCTAAGCACAGGCAAAATCCTAGAGGAAAACCTGGTTGTCTGCTTTCCAACAGACACTTTGAAACAAATTAACATTTCAGTAGGACAATAACCTAAAACAAATATACACTGGAGTTGCTTACCAAGATGACATTGAATGTTCCTGAGCGGGCTAGTTACAGTTTTGACTTAAATGGGCTTGAAAATCTAATCAAATGTAAATGTAAATGAAAATCTATGGCAAGACTTGAAAATGTCTGTCTAGCAATGATCAACAACCAACTTGACAGAGTTTGAAGAATTTTTTAAAGAATAATGTGCAAATATTGTACAATCCAGGTGTGCAAAGCTCTTACAGACTTACCCAGAAAGACTCACAACTGTAATCCCTGCCAGGTGATTCTAACATGTATTGACTGGGGGTTGAATACTTATCTAATCAAGATATATTAGTGTTTTATTTTTCCACTTTGACATTACAGAGTATTTTATGTAGATCCTTGACACAAAAAAAAGACTATTAAATCCATTTTAATCCCACTTTGTAACACAACAAAATGTGGAAAAAGTCAAGGGGTGTGAATACTTTATGAAGACACTGTAGGTCAGGGTTCTTCAATTCCGGTCCTGGAGGGCCGAAACACCTCTGTTTTTCATCCTCTCCTTCTAATCAGGGGCTAATTCAGACCTGGGACACCAGGTGAGTGCAATTAACTACCAGGTAGAAATAAAAAACAGAAGTGTTTCGGCCCTCCAGGACCGGAATTGAAGAACCCTGTTCTACTGTGAAGCAGCGGTGCAGAGATTGGTCTACTCCCTGCTGCCTGCCAGTAATGTCCCTCTCCCTCCTCTCCTACAGGCTGACACACTACTGCTCTCCAGTAGTGAACCATATGGACTGTGTTACATAGAGACAGCTGAGCTAGACGGGTAAAGATGCTGCATGTATTTGCTTCTGCGAGGCTGGGGAAACTGAATAATACATTTTAAGGGGGGGGGGGGGGGGGGGGGGGCTGGTTTGAAAGAGGGCTATCTGTGTCACAGTGTTTCGGCAGTGGTTTTTACACTCTGAGCATCATCAGGAAATAAGACAGTTGCTGATGGTTGAGGATTTGTCCCAGTTTACCGTAGCAGTTCTGTGAACTGGTTTGTTTGAGCCAACTCTAGTATACTACAGTAGGGGAAAAAAGTATTTAGTCAGCCACCAATTGTGCAAGTTCTCCCACTTAAAAAGATGAGAGAGGCCTGTAATTTTCATCATAGGTACACGTCAACTATGACAGACAAAATGAGAAAAAAAATCCAGAAAATCACATTGTAGGATTTGTAATGAATTTATTTGCAAATTATGGTGGAAAATAAGTATTTGGTCAATAACAAAA